AGGTGGCATAACGCAGATCACGAAAAATAGAAAAAGAGTATGCTCAAGCATTTAATTCTATAAATATCGTCATTGATTGTGGTGCTTGAGCATCATCATGCTCATTACTTAATTAATTGATTGAGATGCTTGAGAACACCCTAAATAACACAACTATGATTTGATGATATAATGAATATTTGTAAAATTTGCAGGGTCAAAAATATGCAATCATTGGATAATTTTTTGCAGCCTGGATCAGTAAATCGTTAAAGTGATAACGATTACTAATTATTACCGACCACGGTATCCAGGGTATAATAAATTCTACAGGCAAAATTTGTAGAATACTATACTAAGCGATTTTTTATATGAAAAGTCTTTTTACATAGGATATATTCCCCGGGTATTTTACATTCTACCATGAAATTTTTTAATAGGTACCGTGGTCAGCGCTATACGGTACGTATTTTGGATATAGTATAATAGAATTTATGATTTTTTAATGATTAAAAAAAGGTCCTGTCTAGGGACTTATCAAACACCCGGTATATAATTGAAAAAATCATTTGTGAAACTACAATACTAAAATATTCAGAAGAGTATGATCGCTGTCATTTAAATTTAGTGTTATTTTTAATAACGATAACGCTTTACCCTAATTTGCGATTATAGGTCGTCATCAGGTGATTCAAGATCAATTGATTGCGTAGCCGTGTGACCAAATTTGATATTTAAGGACATTTGATAGGTAAAAAAAAGTTATAGTACAATGCTGCGATTTCGTACCGAAGGATACAATGGATATTCGGTAAAATTGTTTGATATCAATTAAATTATTTAAATTATAATAATTACCTTATTAAATACTTTCGAAATTTTTTATAGTTGCAATTCAGTCCATTCTTTGAAAGTAAAATATCATGTGCAACGGCAGCAAATTTTGGATTAGTTGGAAATGGAAGATTATTCATTTTAAATACTGGTGTTGGTCCTAATGGTGTGGAGATTGAACGAATGTAAATCAAGATTTAGTTGACAATATTCTTTCAGTAATTCGTCTAATAACAACAATGATTATATTATTTAAACAGATATGATACTAAAGATGGTTTATATGATTGTTCATGGAGTGAAGTTAATGAGAACCAAGTTGTTACTGCTAGTGGCGATGGATCAATAATGTTATGGGATACCACGCTCATGGTTGTTTCTCTTATTCAGCATAGTTTATTCACAATACTGCCTGCATTAATATTAATGCAGACTGTACTTTTTTGGATTAGGATTTTCCAATAAAAAAATGGAAAGAACATCAAAGAGAGGTTTATTCAGTACATTGGAATTTGATCAAAAAAGATTCTTTTGTTAGTGGTTCATGGGATAATACTATCAAATTGGTATTTATTTATTTACTTATTTATTTAATCCATTCTCATGTTTAGAGGTTCAAAAGTTTATAACAACTTTTTAGTGGCACCCTGAAGCTCCACAATCATTATCCACATTCTCGGAGCACACAGCATGTGTATATAGTACAATATGGTCACCATATAATCCTGATGTTTTTGGTTCAGCATCCGGTGATAGCACCTTCAAAATTTGGGATGTAAAAGTTCCAAGATCGGCCCAAACTATACGTGCACATCATAGTGAAATTCTCTCTTTAGATTGGAATAAATATCAAGAAAATGTTATTGTTACTGGTGGTTCGGTGGATCGTATATTAAAAGTATGGGATCTAAGATCTCTTAATCGTGAAATAACTTGTTTACGTGGCCACCGATACGCCATAAGAAGGGTGAAATGTTCACCACATGATGGCAACATTATTGCTTCCGCTTCATATGACATGACAGTGAGATTATGGAACACGACTTTGATCGATCCTTTGGTAGAAGTGCATGAGGCACATTCAGAATTTGTTTTAGGTTTAGATTTCAATTTATATGTTGAAGGGCAAATATCTACTTGTTCTTGGGATGAACATGTACATATATGGAATTCTGGCCAGTTGATGAAACGAAGCACATCCATGACTTAGCGCACCACTTGAATTTTGTATATGAGAATTTGTATTGGTGTTTATGTATTTTAAAATATCGACAAATAATCTTCAAAAAAACATTTATTCATTTAAAATTTCGATCAATTAATAATGTTTAACTTGTCTTTTTTTAATTTATAGTTGATACTATAACTGATAATAATTAAAATGATACGTGCATTAGTATATTTTGAAAAAGAAAACCATTATATTTCAGAAATTAAATGTTTTTCTAATCTTGTTGCACTTTTGCAATATTTGCAAGTAATTATTAGACTATTACTGTATTAAATTTTTTTACCTTTGAACCGAGATTCTAAACAGTCAAGTACGTAATAGAAATATAAGTTTTCTATGTAAAAGAAAAAAATATTCATTCAAAAATTTACAATTGGCAAGCTTTAGAATAATACTATAATATTCATTTAACTAAAAAAGTAAATAATTGTAATAGATAATGGTGAATATTAGATCATAGTAATTATTCCAGACACAATTACATATAAGAATTTTTTTTTGAGCCAATATAATAAATGTTCTTATATGTAAATATTTCACCTTAGAAGTAACTCTATGTTTGCCATTTTAGCCTAAATGACGAAACGAATTATTTACTATGAAGAAAGGATCAGGCAATAAATGAACAAGATCACACTTTAGGCATCAAAGAGTTTATTAGTCGACTTGTATCACATTCTTTTGCTTGTCCAGGCAGTTTGTTTCTCTTGAATTAATTTCTAAAAGCATTACGCAAAAAGGAACTTAACTACAAAAGTTATACAATAAGATATTTTTGTTTTCAATTCTTGATTTGATACTTTGATGCTTACAAAAATCTGTCATTGTAGAACAAAAATGATTTATAATATTAAAGCTCTTAAAACATACACATTATTTACATATCCGATTAATTATCTTTGTTAAATAGATGATAAAACTATATATAGATTCCTATATTAAAGAAAAAGAGGATAATACTTATGTTGATCTTGTTAATTATGATGCTTGGAACTAGATATTTATTTTGATTTACTTTCAAGCCATATAAATCGATTCTCACCAAATGTCAAGTATAATTCAAGAATTAACCCCGCAAGAATATGACAGCCTTACTTGCAAATCACCAATTCCAGCATCAACAATTTGTGGAACAAACATAGTTTGGCCCACCTTTTTTTTCTTCTTTCTCCTTCTCATTTCTTCCACAAAAACTTTCTTGTTAGGCATATCATATGTACTTGAGTTCATCACCCCGATTCCACCAACGCCGTATTCTATTCCACGACCATATCCTCCAGGCATATTTAAAGATGTGTGTGATCCAGTCGCGTGGTGTTCATTACGGCTATATACATGGGCAGGATTACTGGAAGCCTCTACTTCTTCAGTTCTGATCATTCCCATATGTTTTGGAACTTGAATAACTCGTGTTAAAGTCTTTGTAATTTCCCAAAATTTTCCATCTTTACCTTCTTTTGAATATTCATTAACCAATATTCTCGTTTCACCTATCATTATATCACTACCAAACGTTTGATGTTGATATAATTGAAATAAAAGCCTTGCGTTTGAAGGGTCCCTTGTATAAAATAGATATTCAGCACCAATGTCTGGTTTTATGGTATTGAATTTTGGAGTTATTTGTGAAACCATTGTCTTTTTATAATCTATAAATGTTATTTTAATATATACTTTATCAATGCGTCGTGAAAACTGGCCTCCTAATATTTGAACTCTTACAGTCCCAATAAAATAAGGTTTTCCGTAATAAATTAATGGATAATACCATTTACGTTTTGGAGAATCTTTTTTAAGTAATCTGATATTTATAGGATTTGAAGAAAACAAACGCATGAAATATGAACCTTCATCATCAGCATTATAAGCAGAAGGAATTAAGATGTAATGGCCAGGGTTTAAAGAAATTCTCTGAGTAACTTCACGAGAATTAATATAGGTAACTCGACCGGTAATTTCATAAGTCGGTTTGTGAATTCGATATTTACGATTTAATTCAACCTTAAGAATAATAAATCCTATAGTGATTTTTTCAGCACCAATTTCAGCATGATCATCTTGTTGCATTAACGATACTATTATGATTGTAGGTTTATGAATTTTGATAGAATATTGTGGATTTTGATAAAATGTTTCTGCATGATTAATACATCCACCAGCTGTTTCATTCTCTATTGACCATTCTCCACGAAACATCGCACCATGCCAACGCCGACCAAATGAAAATAATGATGTGTTAATACAACGACAAATTGTGAGAGTAGAAAAATTTGATACAAAATCTTGAAAAGACTGAAATATTATATGTAAATAATAAATAAATATAGCAATTATTATTGAAACAATAAATAGTCAATAGTCAATAGTCAAGAAAGAAAATTTACCATCCAAAAATCACCATCATCGGCAATAGTAAATCCCAATTGTTTACGCTTAGATTTGGAAACGTTTTGCCATTCTGGTGATTTATCAGACCAAGGACCATTCCATTCTACTTCACCCCATGGGTTATGCAGACGTATTAGAATGACTTCATTTTTCTTGAACAGGGCACCAATTTTGAGTACTTGTATATTTGTAATTCCATACGCATGCTAAAAACATCAATATTACTATCTCTAAAGCTACAGCAAAAATAGTACAAAATTTCTTATCTTTGATATTTTTTTGGATGAAACGAGTCAGTGGCGTCACTAAAATTCCGAGAATTAAAAATTTATTAGATAATCTAATGAGCTTGGTGGTGTTATACGTAACACTAATCTATTCCAATAACTAGTCGGAAACTTGTTAACCTATTAAAATATTTGAATAGTATTAAATGTAATAAAATACATATCAAATATAGTTTTTAAGAGAAATATGTACATACATACGTAGCAGTTAAACAGTCGATGATGTTTAAATGCGTACAGTTTAATTACATATATTACGTATGCTTTAAATTTTATTAACAGTTAAGCATATACATACGTACGTACGTACGTATCGTAAATGCATGACGAAAGTACTATACCTATCTTGATTACGTATCTTGATTACGTATCTTGGCTACGTACGTACGTATTTGGTTACGTATCTTGGCACTGATGATACATTCGAAAATTTCGAGTTTATAATGATAGGTTGTTTCAAACTACTACGTACTACTGAATTATAAAAGTGATTTCTAGAAAGAACAAACAGTACATTTGTTCTTGGCAAATAGTTGTATAAAAAACCAACAAATAATATTAATTTTTTAGTGTAATCAATATAAAATTAAAATGAACGAATAAATCTAAACAACTGCGTATAATTGCGCATATTCTAAAGATCTTTTTTTTTCCAAGTGTGTAGATTTTAGTTAGGTCATAGATTGGGGTAATCACAAAACCATTGGTTCATTAGGGGACGTGCGTACGTACGTACGTACGTAAATTATTTATTGGTTCAGCGTTAATATAAGTGGTTGATACGGTAATAATTAATAGCAATAGGGCTGTTAACATTTAAATGTTTGTTAACTTCCGGTATGATGCGTATCATGCGTATATGCGTATTATTCGTGTCATGTGCATCATCATTAAACTTTTTTAAATGCCATACCAAAATGTAATAGCATTCCTCCTACGTATCACAAATCTAATATGGGTATCCACATTAAAATATATAGCCTTGCAAAAAAAAAAAAAAAGAACTTGTCATTATGTTTGAGAATTAACCTCATTTTTAGCAGTTAGTGAGAAGTAATTATGTATATTGAATAGAACCAAAAAAGGATACAAATCAACTACATACCTTACATACCTTACATACCTTAAATACTTTACGTACTTTAAATACCTTACATACTTTACATACTTTACATACTTTCCATAATGTTGTGATGCATCATCATATGGGTCAGAAAAAAAAAAAAGAAGTTTTTAGGACACATTACTCGAATTGAACTGTGAAAACAAGCATTTTTTTTACGCTAGCATTGACACAACTTTAACAATTAGAATCCCATAATTCCGTTTTAAATGTGCAGTCATTGTTTGCGGAGTTTCAGCTTAGAATCCCGATTATAAGTAAATTATTGCGTTGTCCTGGCTAGAGTAATGATTGTACAACTTTATGTGTCAGCATACTTATAAAAATCATTTGTTAATGACCTTCAAGATAACACAAAAATAGAAATGTCTTAAGAATTGAGTAATCTATCGTAACATCGAAGGTCTTTACTACGTGCGGTGCGTACGTACGTACGCACGTAGACTATATCATTCCACACAAACAAATACAAAAATGTATATAATCGTTTGGTTTCACCAATTCAGCAATTCCAAGATTATCCATTCTTTCTTGAAATTATCAAATTAAATACGTACTAACCATCATTTACATTATTATTACCTTAAAAAGTGAATTTATGCACCTTTTAAAAAAGTTTTCTATTATGTAGATATTGTATAGGTTAGAACGTTTTTATATAATAAGTACGTACATAAGTACGTACGTACGTATGTTACATGCTTTTATTTTTTACATAGGGGTCCGGACCTTCAGTTTGGTATAAAAATAAATCACATATCATGTGATTACCTTTAAATAGAAAATTAGATCAAAAACTGTTCTATGAATAAAACAATAAATTAATAATGATTATAAATAAATATGTATAGTTATTTAAATTTTAATTGTACAACATCAGTGGGTCAAAGTATATAGCATTTATTTTCCAAAAACTAGATTTAGCGTTTTTTTTTTTTTTATGAGTTCTTTTTTCTTTCTTTTCTTTATCTTTTTTTCGCTTTGGTTAAAAATAAAAAAAAACTGGTATTTACGGACAATATATCTCTTTACAGTAATTTTACCCTCTGTAAGCAGCTTTTATTTAGTTTTTTTTTAGTTTTACCAAAATTATTTAAATTAAAATCAAATAATTTTTAATGCTTA